GAGAGAGAGGAGAGACAGCCAGGGGAGAGAGAGAGAGGAGAGACAGCCAGGGAAGAGAGGAGAGACAGCCGGGGAAGAGAGGAGAGACAGCCAGGGGAGAGAGAGAGGAGAGACAGCCAGGAGGGAGAGAAAGAGGAGAGACAGCCGGGGAAGAGAGGAGAGGAGAGACATCCAGGAGAGAGAGTGTATGTCCGTGGTACCATACTGGATATAGTTAAATGTTATGTATGAAATGTGGCGAGCGGCCCCCATGGGAGTGAGTTGAGTTGGAGGTCTAGAAGATATGCACAATGCAGGGAGAGAGAACATGAACAAAGTGAGGGGAAAACATAATGCAATGTTATTGCTCCTATAGTGTGAAAAGGAAAGATTGTGCTGTAATCCGTTAGTTCTAGGACTGCAAACTGTGCCAGATCTTCCCTTTGTCCTGCCAGGAACTCTATCTGTACACAATGTACAATGTGAAATGTACACAGATCATCTGCCTGTTTATTAGCAACCTGACCACTTCTTTCTGTGCTAGGTGGTAGATGGAACCCTGTGTGGTCCGGAGAGCCTATCGGTCTGTGTGCAGGGTCAGTGTATTAAAGCCGGCTGTGATCATGTATTGCATTCCTCCAAGAAGCTGGACAAATGTGCAATGTGTGGGGGAGATGGATCCAGATGCAGGAAAATATCTGGATCGCTCAACAAGTCCAAGTAAGAACTTCTGGGTGGTACCTGAATGCAGGGTTAGGAATGAATGTGAATTCACATCAGACAAGAACACAGGAAATCATTCCGACACAAATATTCTCCGGCCGTAACAATTCCTGACTCTGATTTAATGACGTATTATTATTGATGACAGAGCCTCGTTATTTGTCTTTTATATCGGCCCGGAGTTCAGCCTTAGAAGACATGTGATACCGTTTCCATAGCAGTTAGATTTTTTCCATTCCTTTTTTACCTCTGCGTGGAAATGAACAAAGATGAAAGCTTTTTGTTTCTTATAGACAAAAAGAACACTTTTCTTCAGAACACAATGTGCGCGTATATCTGCAGAATGATGTGATTCTCGGGTATACGTATATACAGAGGCAGCACCACATATTAACATTGTAGGAGCAAAGTGCCTGAGGAGCACTTGACAACCAATAAGATTATAGCTGACATTTTCACAGTGCTGGTTTGTTTGCTAAGCAAACCTCTCATTGGCTGCTGTGGACAATTGTACTGTCCTTCCTTCCTTCTGCTTTTCGTACATAGAATGGTTACTATGAATATCAGAGAAACAGAACGCTTCCATCTACGATTTATTTTTCAAAGCATATAACAAGTGCCACTGAGGAATGGCTAGATGCTAATGGTGATCAGGGGTATTTGCTGGACCTTGGAACCCACGGCATGCACCCGGGTCTTCTACTGAGCGTCCTGAGTCTTCAGTCTAGGTGCCCAAGGGTGCCCTAGGTTTATAGAAGCGTAGCAACACTCTAGATGGTAGTACATAAGCAGCTAACGTTTTTTGAGTAGGACTTCTAATGTGCTGGAGACAGTCTGTGTTCCTGCCTCTATATACTTACTGATATAATGTGTAGACTTAATGACCATGAAAGATATTGATGCACTGACATCTGCAAGCTATTTCCTCTTCTTGGTTTTACTGAAATTGACAGCAGAATGTGGGAGCAAGGTTCAGACACGGCATATAACATATTATGAGTTAAAGCTGCTTCTCTACCCAATATAAGCCTCATTAAATGCAAGTATGATAATCCTCCAAGAGCAGAACATCTCATCCGCAGCTTTCCAGTCTAATGGCAGCTTGGCAAGAAAGCTGAGGCTTCCTCCCAGACCTGAATTACTAATATTGGTAGTGGTGGAGAACTCGGTATTAATCCGGTTATACATTTATCTATACGTGATTGATTATAGATTTGATTAGATCAAAAAAAATATTTAGCTTTAAAATTGGTAATGGAGCACAAAAAAAGAAAACGATGTATTTGGTGAAATGTGATTTCATTTTCTGCCAGAATAGATTAACATTCACTAATACTGTTTATTATCACCACCCAGGTATGGATATACAGATGTTGTCACCATCCCAGCAGGAGCCACAAATATTGACGTGAAACAGCGCAGTCACCGTGGCATCGTGTATGATGGGATCTACCTGGCAATCAAGAGAGCTGACGGGAGCTATCTTCTGAATGGGGATTACGCAGTTTCTTCCATTGAACAGGATGTCCATCTAAGAGGAACAGTATTATTATACAGTGGATCCAACACCACACTGGAGAGGATTCAGAGCTTTCATCCTCTCCCTGAACCTCTGACAATACAAATTCTTCGAGTAGCTGGCGAGAGCATCCCACCCAAAATTAAATATACATTTTTTGTGCCTAAGAACTTGCCATATGGACGACAAAAAGCCAAGGATAAGGTATCTCATCACTCCCTTAGACCTCTGCTAAACACTCAGTGGTTTTTGGGAGACTGGTCTCCATGCTCCAAGAGTTGTGGCTCTGGGTGGAAACGCAGGTCAGTGGAGTGCCGAAACGTAGATGGAGGGGCCTCAGAACAATGTTCACAAGAACTCAAACCTGAGGACATTCGGGCTTGTGGGGACACACCTTGTCCCATGTGGAGACCAGGCGGCTGGTCACCTTGCTCTCAAAGCTGCGGAGAAGGAATAAGGACACAAAGGATATCCTGTGTGGACTATACAGGAAAAGAGACAGAAGATGATAAATGTGACCCAAAGAAACGTCCTGCAGCGTCTGTGACTTCTTGTAAGCTGGAGGAATGCCGAGGACCTTTCAGGGTGGATAAAATCCAGGCAGCTACAAACATTAGCTTCATTGCTGCTGGTAGAGATGTATGAGTTGGATAAATCAGGTTGAAGGACTTTGATATGCGATTTATAGCTGTGCTCTGTGTAATACAGGGTCTGCCAGCAGCAATGACAGAGACTGTGCACTATATGACAAGAGCAGATATTGTTCTGCCTTAAAGACTAACTACAGAACGGTGACACATTTTGTGTTTCAGGATAGAAATCTACCTCATGAGAGAATACGTAACCTTTTGTATCAGCTCCATGTTCTATGTCTTTCAACACCTTTTCACAGGAAAGTTCAGAAGAGTTATCTATTCTCCTTCACGTACTTTCTTCTGCTAGAAGGTCATACTTTGTGTTGCAGCATGTTGAAACCATGTTGCATAATTATTTCAGTGCACTCTTCCTTCAGGCTAGCTCCATGCTAGAGGAGTGTGTTTCTAAACTTGCTGTTTCATTATACACCATGGACCTTCATTTATTTATTTATCCCAAACATGTTGGGCTTAGTTTGAGTTATGGAATTGTACCAGATTGGATGTAAATGCTGTTTGCTGGTTACACTCATACGCATGAGTTCCCTTTGCACAAAGACAGTTCCATAAAGACACGGTGTGACCAGTTTGGTTCGGAGGAACTCGAGTGTCCTGCACAGAGCCCTGACCTCAACCCTACTGAGTACCTATGGGATGGACTGGAACGTTGATTGCGAGCCAGGTCTTCTCAACAGCCAGCAGTATCTGACCTCACAAATGGTCTTTTGGATGAATGGGCAGAGTAAAGTCTTCTTAAAAAAAGAACATATTCACATGTCTCATTCCATCACATATTCCAAAACAAAGAGGATTATTCCTCATTTTGGGACAGTGGGCGGATCCATGTAAATTATTCCTTTATGCCCCATTGGCCAGATGCACATCCAGAACCGCAGGTGTACCTTGCAATTATAGCACAATATTTTAGAGTAATGTATTCCAAACTGCATACAGCAGTGCATGCATGGAAACCATGGCTTCTGTGGACTATGGCTTGAGACAAATGTATGCAGCCTGGAATGAATGGATTTTAGCCACCTCTGGGCTTTCAGTAGTTCGCCCTGGCATTCAGCACCTGATCTTCCATTAAAGTGGCGCAATTCAGGGCTTAGGCGCAGTGTACCTCATACTTTTGCCAATGGCTTTTAATGGCATCAGGGAGGTGAGTAGGCTAGGCTTTGTAACTGACAGCTTAGTGAGCTCACAATGCCAGCGCAAGCAACATTGTGTACCTTCTTTATACTCTGGCAGAACATGGGTGGGGAAGATTCAGGTGTCTGCTAGCCGGGAAAGGGGGGGAAGACAAATAGATTTTTACTTTATATGAGCTAGAAGAGCAGGCCACAAACCGTGTTTGTTCATGGCATTAGCTGATAATTCTGCATTTATTGTTAAATGGTTCATGTTGGAGTGCCAGTGACTACTGAGACCAGCTGGGGGAAGACAGCAGCAGAGGCTTTATTTACAGAGTATCTGGTTCTTGCTGAAGAAGCTTTTGCTCTCTTAACTCTTGCTCAATATGAAGACTCTTTTAAGAGAACTTCCACTTTCCATGCTTCTGTTTCTGTTGATATTTATTGTGACTTTTAAGCAGGACAAATGCAAGGAAACCGTCATCGTAGAAAGAACAGCTTGGCAAGAATTCTGATTATTTTACATTTGCAATCTTGCATGATGACCTCTAAATTGATTCCCACTTACAGTTCATACAATTATATGTGGAATTTCCAATACTGTCACCACATTAGATGAAGGACTGTTATTAGCTGGCTGAGGGTAAAGATCACTTGAATGGGACCCAGGCATCTTTGTAAACAAATCAGTTCTGTTTAAATTGCATCTCATTAGGGTGTCTAACTGACATTAGTATTTTGGTAAGAAACACCACAACTGTTAAAGGGGTTCTAAACCCTCACGTTTTTTTGCCTATATCTACTGCTTGATAGCGGTAGATATAGGCAAACAGTTTTTTTTTTTAAACCCGCTTTAACAGCGGTTTAAACTTACCTTGCTATCGCTGCGTGCTCCCGCCCCAGAATTTGAAACTGTTCGAGCGGGCGCAAAGCATCTTGGGGCGGGCGCATGCGCAGTTAGGATTCTCGGCCGGGAGACAAGGAGAGACGCAAGGTAAGTCTATGGACGCGTGCACCCGCATGCAGACACCGCTGGATCAGAAGTGCCTGCAAGCAGGGAGGAGTCAGCGCTGGATCGGAGAGCCGCCGCACCGCTGGAGGGACAGATGAAAACATCAGGAAAGAAGAAGAAGATCGGATTAAGAGACATCATGTAAGGTAAGTGCTGACATTAACATTGGGGGGAGGGGGAAACAAATATCCTTTAATGTCACTTTAAGCCTTTAGAGTTATTTTAGCTTTATGAGAAGGACTGGATAGATTAGATTTAAACATTATATTGGATATATTTTATATTCTGACTAAGTGTAGCTATAGCCCAAACCTTTTCCTTTATTATTTTGGATGGAGTGGGGAAGGATTAGAACTACTGTCAGGTTTTACTGCTTTTTATAGAGACTCCTTTACTTTCTGTCTGGCCAAAAGGTTGTCCCCATGAGACAGCAATTGAGGGGAAATCTCTCTAACAGTAACGCAGACAGAAGTACTAAAGAATGTTAAGTCACGTAGGGCAATGCTAGAAGCCCTGTCAGTTTTTTATTGGTGTCTGCCTGCCTGGGGCGGAATTTCTCCTCACTTCCTGTTTGATAAAAGTTTGTCACCTCTCTCACAGAGCCTGGAATAGATGTAAAACGGGTTCCAACTTTTCTAATTTTATCTAAAACTTTTGGGTATACATACAATTTAGGGTCACATAAGCAGTTCAAACAAAAATAAGCTCTTGTCTTGAATCAAATGTTTCTCTTGGCTTTCTGGAGAACCTGGCGACTTATACATTTCCTGGAGCCCCAATTATGGCCTTATAGTCTAATGTGTTACTTTCAAGGAACCCTTTCAGTGGTCCTAGGGACCGATTCATATTTCTCCTTGAATTAAACAGCCCTGGATGGATGATGTGTTATTGTGGTGACAACACTAATGCTTTTAGAAGACATGCTCACCTGCTACCTGAGAGCCCAATGGTATGTTGGTCTGGAGGAGGATGCTCTGAGCAAAGGCCATGTTCTTTTTCCTTATTCTGATAATGTGTTCATCTTCTAGAGGAGAGCAGTGGACAGACAATTTGATTTGCGGCAGCTGGCTTCTCTGCACAGCTCCCTTCCAGTACCTCACATTTAAGGCTGCTGTTGTGAATTTACTGGGAAAACTAAAATAGATTGGTTGTGCAAGAATCTTGATTTCTTTGTTGCCAAGTATGCGTTACAGTTACAGTGTGACCCTTGCTGTGCTGTATCGCAAGACAAATCACTTTGTCACAAATCAGATTGTTTTTTTTACAAAAGATGACACAATTTGCTATGAATATTATTGTAATTAAATGTATCTCGAGTACAGAGCAAGCATCTTCCTTCAGCAAGTTGGGTTGGGAACTATGCGGTATTGAAGTTCTTCAACAGCAATTCACCTGTAGACTGGAAGAGTGAAGGGCTGGCACTCCAAGGTCTCTGGGTTTAAGCCATGCCGGCCCTACACCATTCACCAAACTGCTGCAATCAGGGTGAGATAGCAGCTTTCTTCTGGTGTAATAGTTCAAATGAAAGAAGCGTTCCTGGGGTGTTTTCTGTGGACAACAGCTGGAAAACATGTGGCCCTTCTGTGCACATTTTCCAACAGGCTGCCAAACATGGGAATACATGTGTATGGGACTACAGTCAGAGTAGACATCCTGACAAAGGGGTCAGGCTGTAGGAGTTGCTCATTACCAAGTTTTGTTTCCAAGTTATATGAATCCCTTATCAGACGCCTGTATTGTTTTCCAGATATCCAGTAAGATTTTCTAGTGTCACAAACGCTTTCAGGAATGTTTTCAGGCATCTTTAACACACAAGAATGCAAATCAGTAACTACCACACATTTTTCTTCTATGGAAGAATGATTGTTGGTAGTAAAAAATAGAATATTACAGCGGAGGACTGGGAACATTTAGGCTGGGAGGGATGGAAAGAATGGTAAAGAATGTGTGGCATACAAAGTGTGCCATGGTGCCTTACTGGTTAGTGGCCATAAAGAAAGCCTATGTGCAGCTCTTGGCATTCAGTCACATGACATCTCAGAGACACAGAGGAAGTTGGTGCTGGATGATTTTGCTCTGCCAGGTGCTGTGATGGGAGGTCTGAATGAGGAGCAGGTAGCATGGCCCATCATGTGTTACCAACTGCAAGCCCTGCTCTCATCAATCTCTGAATAGTGAAGTATAGAAACTCAGGGCTAACATCCCAACTTAACATATCAGTACAATGCTCCCCAGCACAGTCCTCCCTGGATCTTAAATGTTATATTTGACAAATGACAAATGAGAGCTGTAAAAAAAATGTAAACACTTAAGCGTTACCATAAACGCAAATTCCTGGAAGGAGGAGATTTATTGCCACCAAGTTTCTTTCAGCAGTTGACAGAGAGGGAACGTTGCATCTAATTTAACATGGTCAAGAGAAACACAACCAAAACCTTCAAATGAGTACTAGGTCATTCATTGCCAAGGACTGGAGCTCAGTGCACTCACTGGGCTATAGAGATACACATTTAAGACCCATTTAAAACCTGTATATATCCTAACCACATTCTGAATGTATAACTGCTATACACTTTCCTTTATATTTACCAAACCTATGGAGCAGAAACTCTACATAAGCAATCAATTGGTATCCAGTCAGGAATGCATTCACATTACACAGGTATTGGTAGGTCTAAAGGAAATTGTACAATCATATTGCAAGGTGAATGGCCGGCCGTATGCAGATTTGGATCCAACAGGATTCAGTGAGACGTTCTTCTAAAATGTTTCTGGGATAGTTCTGCTGCTTTGCCATGAAGGAAACCAGCAAATATCCACATGATGAGCGGAAGAGAAGAATTACACTCATGCCCTTATTTTTATAACAATGAAAATGTCTGAAGCCCATTTTCAGCACTTTTATAGATGTCTAATGATGACTTTCAACTTATTGGAGTAAATTGCTGTAGAAGAATGAGGGAGGCAGCAAAGGGAAAACGTAAGCTCCACCAATGATGTATTTGGATCCGATAATAAGCTCTGCAAACAAAGATGGTGTTTTCCAGCAAATGTGATATTTCTAACACCCAAAGGCTGCTAGAAATGTCTGAGCTACTCAGTGATCTCCACGGAACCATGAGCAGAAATAAAAGTCTAAATGTATTTATCCTCAAAGTGTCTGTAACAATGATGTTTGTTTAAAAATGTAACAAATTTTAATAAAACTGTAATTTTGTAGAAAAATCGACCTTTTTGGGGCATCGTGGCTTTTTCTTGTCGCCTAAAGTTGTGTTTGTAGATATCTCTGTCTGCTGAGTGTAATAGACAGCTAATCAGATAATAAGACCATATGATGAATCAAAGAAAAAGACATTAATGGACAGTACTGATATACAGTATAT